AGAAAATTTCAGAAAGGATTTAATTTTAAATGAGTTCTTGCTAACTGACCAGTTTTACATATTCGGCACGACATATATATATATATATATATATATATATATATATATATATATATATATATAATGATCTTGGCTGAAGGAGACTCGAACCTACGAACCTTAGGACAAGGTACGCATGCTTTACCAATCTACCCACTGCGTACCTTATCTAGGTTCGTAGGTTCGAGTCTCCTTCAGCCAGAGATCAGTGTTTGTGTATATTTCGCATGCTCCGCGAATTCCTTGCACAATATTATATATTATTATAATATAATATATGATATATATTAATATATTTATATAATTATATATATATATATATATAATAATATATATATATATTGCTTCTTATTGTGCAGTATATATCCATCCTGTGGACGGTAGCATAAGAGAATATGAATACACAAAAGGCCTAAAAACTAGGCCCCAAAAGGAGCAACGAGAATATATCAAGGTAAATATCTACAACGGATTACCTCTTACAAGCAAAATTTGGGATATTTGCTGAATATGTCTGCTCTCTCATTTTATTTAATAAAATACCTTGATATGGGATGAATTGTAAAGGACCTGCCTAGTATGGGCCAACAGGCCTCCTGCAGTGTTCCTCCTTTCTTATGTTCTTATGTTCTTATATCAGACAGGTTATTATTCTCTGTCTGTTGTTCTCAGTCAGTGGATAATGAAGGGAAGTGTTCATGAACATGACCATAAGGTTCGCCACATTCTTTACATTAAGTTTGATAACATTGCAGGTGAGGTAATAAATTTTGTGACTCGTTGTAGTGTCTGCTTCAAGTTATTACTATTATTTTTATCATTGTTGCAATTATTGTTATTGTTGTAATTATTATATTTTTAATAAAAATTATTTTTGTGATTATTATTGTAGTTATTATACTAATTATTATAAATATAATTATTATAATTATTATTGTCATTATTAGTAGTAGTATTATAATTATTATAAGTTATTATTATTTAGGGAAGCGCTAAACCTACAGAGATCTCACACGAGGCCTGGTCTCAGACTGGGCCGCGGGGGCGTCGACCCCCGAAACCCTCTCCAGGTACCTCAAGGATATACGAGTTTTGAGAGGTATGTTATTTGGTGACCACCCCCCCCCAAGTGTAAAAATGGGGGTGGGAGGGAAGACCCCACATGGCATGTGTAGGGTGAATGGAAGACCCCCACAGTGTGAGGGAAGGAGGTGATCCTCACGTGTGGGGGAGGAGAAGCGTGAGATGCTAGTAGTAGTGCAACCACCCTCGCCCGTTATACATATGGAGGACAGGGGAGGACAAGAGGGAGGGGGGAGGTTTGCTTAACCCCTACGGGTTTAGCGCTTGCAAGTAAAAAATAAAAAGTTTTCTCGGGCCTTATCGTACCTTAATGTGAAGCAACTCCTTGGATCTACCTCCTCCGCTTCATGAAGATCCTTCTACTATCTGACCTTCCTGAAACTGAGAGGGAATTTCCCGACGCTCCTCTGGCAGATTTTCCTCAATCAGTGCCCTCCCCCTTCCCCCCCCAACAATTCTTTGTCCTCTCATTTCAAATAGGCTGTCCCTCTCAACCTTATAAACATCTAAGTATTTTGTACGTTATGATCATGTCTCCTCCGGTTCTCAGATTACTCCATGGTAGTTTCCCCTCGGGTAAGAGATAACGTAAAATACCGACAATTATAAAGACGCATGTCCAGTGTTAAAATATTTAACGCCACGAATGCACGTGTTCGTATGTTAGTCTTCTCAACAGGAAGTGTTCTAGTTACAAGCATCTCTATCTATATGTCTATCGGATGTTTGATTAGGTGTGGGCTCCACACTGGTGCTGTAAACTCTACGATAGACATGACAGTGTCTTGTGCAATTCCTCACACTGTATATTACAAGCGTTTTAACATAGTCTATTCAACTGTTCAACCTCCTCTTAAGGGAAGGATTCTTGATCCAAGGAATTGGGCCTGTTATTCCGTTCCTTGGACCGTACAAATAGCGCTCACCCCAAGAATGCTGTAATAATAATAATAATGATAATAATAATAATAATAATAATAATAATAATAATAATAATAATAATAATAATAATAATGATAATAATAATTATAACGGCAGTTGTCTAAACTGCTGCTGGATGTTCACGTTCATGTACTTTGTTTAATGGTGGTTAACTATATGTATATACGGATATATAAGTTTAATGAGTTTAACTTAAAATATCCACTGTTTGTATAGTTGGATTTGCTGGGAAACTGACATACTATAATATACATGAAAACGTGCTGTGTAATTTAAAAAAAAGTTGACGTATGGATGTGTCGGGCTTGTGTGTGTACTCACCTATTTGTGGCTGCAGGGGTCGATTCACAGCTCCTGGCCCCTCCTTCACAACTCTTGACTGCACGTGTGTGATGAAGGAAATGACTCCAAATTCTCCCACAGGATGTATACACAGAGTGGTGTAGTTCTCTCAGCGTATATACACTGAGACTAATTTAATCCCTATTTTAGGGATTAAAATAGTGATGTTTGGTGGTGAAAAAGGTTTCGTGCATCACTGTCGTTCGTCTCTCATGTCTCAATAAAGATGCAGTTTTAAACTTTTTCTAAAATTAGACGCATTTTCTAATGTATTTTATTATTTTATATATGTTTTATATAAAATTAAAGTTTGTTAGGACCAACGAAGCACTTTTTATCTAAATTAAATTTTATATTATATATATATATTTATATTATATATATATAATTATAGATTATTATATATATATATATATATATTATATAATATATATATATATATATATATATATATATTATATATATATATTATATATATATATTCGTTCACCTCTACCAAATATATAAAAAAATCACAAATATAATTTTATTATTTCGTAAGCAACTTATGAAATTAAAGTAACACGCAAGAATCATCTTGCTGAGACTATCATGATATAATGCAGAGAATGTGTGGCATATCTAAGTGTTTTTCCTCGTCAAGCTCACCTTGCCTCGTGATACAGGTATTAAAGCCCTCACAGAGGTGGATAAGTTAGTATATAACATCATCTGATTTGCAGGACCTTTGAACGCCTTGTTGTGTCTTATCATGTGTCAGCATTTATTATTGTTCATTCGGAGCCTGTATTAAGAACCTCTTCTCGCAACGCACCTCAAGGATGACGCCATGTTTTAAGGACGTAGTGCTCCTCCGCTGTCATTGCAGATGTTACTACTACTACTACTACTACTACTACTACTACTACTACTACTACTACTACTACTACTACGACTACTACTACGACTACTACTACGACTACTACTACGACTACTACGACTACTACGACTACTACTACTACTTCTACTACTACTACTACTACTAATAATAATAATAATAATAATAATAAAAATAATGCAAATAATGCAAATACTGCTAATAATAATAATAATAAATGAAAATCTACATTTTACATACCATCGTATAAATTTGTGTAGAGGTTCTACGGGCACAGAGCTCTTCAAGTAACAATGGTAAATTATGTAGATTTAACTTAGGATAATACAATGAAGGCAGTGTGAAGATGGCACCAGGTGTTTGTGTCTCATTTATGTCATTGACAGCAGGATGCGCTCACGATGATTATCTTAGGATTATTAACCCCGGAGGTTTATTTACCAAGAACAATCCATGAAATCCAAATGTTGTTTCCGTTGAGGGTCTTTCGCTCTTCTTTCCCAGAATGTAACCCACAACAACTTAAGTGAGCAGGAGAAGTAAGTGTACCTTGCCTCCTGCACGTCTCGTCTCACAGGAAATTCTAAGTTGAAATATAAACGATATGAAGAGAGGAATTCTAAAACTAACGGAGCTGACTTCCTGCCACCTTTTAAGTAGCTACACCTTCAGTATATTAGGCGACTATGGTGTACAAGTCCTTTGCTCGCAGTCGCTCCATGGTAAAATTATTACTTGGGAGGGGCCCTACAAACGTTTAACGAATAATTATGGAGAAATTAATAGTTGTCAACGGTGAGGTGATGGGGAAGTCACGAAAACAGCAGCTAACTAGAAGGAAAATTAAAACTCTGACTTGAAAGTGGCAGCGTTTAACAAATTACCTGCAGTTAGTGCTTATAGAATAAATCATGTCATCTGGGCCAAAGATGGTTATAGTTGATGTTAGTTTATTCCTCAGGAAAAAAAAATCCCATGACACGGGTCTTGATCGAATAATGACCCGCTTGGTGACTGTTAAAGAATATCGTCAAGACTTCATTTTGTCAATGATTAGTTGTGGCCTTGATATCAAAAGATCACTCAAAATCAACTTCGTTCTTTTTAATGTGGTTTACCTCGTGCTCTGTTTGGGATGGCTATACTCATGCTATATTAATTTATAGACACAGTGAGTGATGATGAGCGATATGCTGACATTTATCTTCCAGGAGATGCCCGAGGTTGTAACTGCATGCCAGGAATGGTTCAGTATAAGCATGCAGTTGTTCGAACACTGGCAAAAACTCATGCGGATTATCAAAATGTTCGCTGTAAAGGTCGACTGGATCCACGTATTAGTACAAGAATGTTTGTAACGGAGAAGACAAGGCGTAGACCATGACCTTGCTAACAAGACGGGAGGCGGCGGACACAAGCGCCGCGGGCTGTGTGAATTGTGTTGCAAGTGTGAGCAATTATCTCTCGTCTGGCAAGGTCGACCCTCAGTCTTCTTACGATGGCCTACTCGGTCTATGACCTCCCGGGACATGAACTTTACAACTTCCAGCGTGGCTTCACCTGATGAGGGTTATGATAAATGGTATAAGTATTCCAAACCCGGCGTCTGCCTGTTCCCACTTCAATACAATAACAGTAAATCAAACATTAAGAACCACTCGAGTGTGTATGGTCGAGGAAGATAAACCTGAGGATACTTGAAGCAAGATGGACTTACCCGTCTTTTTGTTCGGCAGCTCTGTCCCGTTGTCGGCGGTTCTTGAACCAGTTGGAGACCTGTGTTGTGGTGAGGCCTGTGGCTTCAGCCAGCTCACGCTTTTCCCTGGGTGATGGGTACGGGTTGTGAGCGTACCACTCTCGCAAGACGTTCCGTGACTTCTCCTTGAAGCAATAGGAAGTCTCTTCACCGTCCCAAATGGTGCGCGGGAGAGGGAATTTGCGCCGCACGCGATACTTGCCCACGGCGCCAAGCGGTCGCCCACGCAACTTCTCTGCTTCTATGTAGTGCGCCTTCAGCCACAATTGCTGCAATTTTCCGTGATTTTGTATTGAGAAATTGTGCGATTCAAGAATTCGATAAAGGTCTTTGAAGTTGCCGCGGTGGAAGGCAACGAGGGCCTTGGCTTTAAGGACGGACTCGTTCTTGTGCAAGTGTTCGCAGGCGGGCAGTGACCACAGGAACCTGCCCAACCTCTCGATGTTCCCACTCTGCTGAAGGACCTCGCACACGCAGGCAACCTGCTCTTGCGTGAAACCGAAAGATGGGAGCATTGCAGCGGGCGGGGAGAGCGATGACTGCGGTGGCAGCGTCGGCGGGCCCAGGTGTGGGGCCCCTGGATGTCCACCCGCCTCGCTCATAGACCCCACTATCATAATATAATCCGCCACGGTACTAATGTTTACAACACCCACTACGCCCACCCCAGCAGATTTGTCGTGGTCACTACACAGCCAGTCAGGCGCACAACACACAGCAGCGCACGTCCTAACCACACCAAGGGATCACCCAAACTATACTACTAGGCAAACCCAAGCTCACGTTTCCATCCTTCGATACTGCAGGGGCCGGATCGTGTTTTCCCCCGCCCACCAACACAAGAGCGGCCATCTCATTGGATGACTCTAAGCACTTATTGTATGTTGAGCCAACTGGGGCGGGCCTGGGTGGAGCCATCAGTAGAGTTGCTTTTCATCCGGCCAATGACCGTACTCATTTAGGTAGAGGGGTTGGCCGCCTTAACATAAGAAGATGGATGATATAGTGCACACTGTCGGTATTCCTAATCATCACACTTATTCATTAAACGATAAATAGAGTGAGGGAAACATTTGTCAGGGCTCACACAGACACTCTACCTTCCCCAGTGGCTTGCTTCCCTTCTGGCCAGATACCCGCCTCCATACACACTTCCCACCGCTCCAAGCATAATCATTTAATTCTCGTCCCTTCGTAGCGAAGGGAGAGGAACATCCGTCAATCGAAGCCGAACCTCATAACTTCTCTTCATATTCGACTCTAGAGATGATGAAATAAATTGATTGAAAAAAAGCGCGTTGAGTTTTCACTTAATGGACACAGTATTCAATTAGCAACACGAAAACAAAGGCCCTCCCATTAACGCTTGCCCCCCACGCACCAAATGTATTGTGAAAACGCTGAAAAATGGCTTCAATATATCTGGCTGTGATGCAGGGTCATAACGACCCAGCATCACGAACCAGCCGTCAGAGGGTTACGCGTGGCCCAACACTTTACTGGGGCGCCTTCCTGAAAACTCTCAAATTAATGCCTGGCTGATTTGCTGCTGCTGCTCTGTTGTATATGTTAGCTGTGCTCTGCTATTTATGTCTGGCCCTCACAACACCACCTTCGAGCTTAAGTCAAGAAATTCATTCCCGTGAGAAGTAAACGTTCTGTGTGTGTGTGTGTGTGTGTGTGTGTGTGTGTGTGTATATATATATATATATATATATATATATATATATATATATATATATATATATATATATATATATATATATATATATATATATATATTATATATATATATATATATATATTAGTGCGGCTGAACCTGAAACTCAGTGTTATCATAAACTGTTTTAATTTTTTGTCATGTTTCTGATTTTTTTTTTTTTTTCAGTTTTTAAGAAAGTTTCTTACGAGAAAGTTGTGTTTGCACAACATGAACCAGCATAACAATGCCCTTTAAGGGGAAATTAATAGCCTGTGACAAGAGGCGTGATTGATGAAGCTTTTACTCAAGCGGAAGGCACATAAATAACACTTTCTCACCTCTTTCATGTGAAGTAAAATCGAACTCCAGATACTTGCAATAAACTAGCTGAGCTTTACCTCAGAAGCTGAACACGCCCAACTTGTGTAATGGTGGAACATGCCCTCCAATATATTAATACTTTTTTTTTTTTTGACGCTTTACACTGCGTTAAGTTTTCAACGATGTAAGTTGCTACGAAAAATATCTTAGTGCTTATGAGTCAGATGAGGGCTATCTAACCTAAACTAGCGTAAGGTTAAACGATGCTAGTGAAGAACCCGTGATGCACAAGGTGCTGGAGTTACCTTCCAAGGATCAAAGTGGATGACCACATTCAAATTTCAATATACTTTATACTAATAATAATGACCATGACTAACTATCATAAGCGGGCAACGTAGGTCTGGCAGCGCTGAAGCCGTCATTGTCACATAACTCGTTAGTAATCACACGCTCTCTGTGTAAGCTGAAGATCGGGATTAATGCTGGGGTAGGGAAGTCGATGTAGCTCCCATCACTCAGCGAGCGGCACTAGTACCGCGAACCCAGTACCAGGAACCCGGTACCAGGAGATCACATTACCAAACACACACACACACGAGATGCTTTGAGTCTACCACGGAGACATTTCTCAGATTTCCATTTTATGCCAGTGTATACAATTTTTTTTCAATTATTTTTTATAGTTAAAAAAACATTAGAAAGTGACTTTGTCATCAGTAGTTTAATGAACTGAAGGCAGTTGAGTACACCGCACACACGCACTCACACGTACACATGCACTCACATACACACGCGCCACGCGTGCGCTGATATGCGCGACGCACACAAAACATATAGCCTATACAATCACACATACACAAATGGACTCATGCTGAAATACATATTATACATATTAATGGTTATAGTTATTATGGTTTGGGAATAAAGTTGTGGGTGAGTGGAACAAACTCCCGAGTACCGTCATAGAAGCTAACACGTTGTGTAGTTTTAAAAATAGGTTGGATAAATTAATGAGTAGGTGTGGGTGGGTGTGAGGTTGAACCTGACTAGCTTGTCCTAATGTGACTAGATGGGTCATTGGTTTAAGCCAGGAGGTGACTTGGACCTGCCTAGCATGGTCCCGTAGGCTTGCTGCAGTGTACCTTACATATATATAAATATGTATATATATATATATATATATATATATATATATATATATATATATTATATATATATATATATAATATATATATATATATATATGTATATATATATATATATATATATATATATATATATATTATATATATATATATATATATATATATATATATATATATATATATATATATATATATATATATGTATATTTTTTTTTTTTTTTTCAACAAGTTGGTCGTCTCCCACCGAGGCAGGGTGACCCAAAAAAAAAAAGAAAGAAAATCCCCAAAAAGAAAATACTTTCATCATCATTCAACACTTTCACCACACTCACACATTATCACTGCTTTTGCAGAGGTGCTCAGAATACAACAGTCTAGAAGCATATACGTATAGAGATACACAACATATCCCTCCAAACTGCCAATATCCCAAATCACTCCTTTAAAGTGCAGGCATTGTACTTCCCATTTCCAGGACTCAAGTCCGACTATATGAAAATAACCGGTTTCCCTGAATCCCTTCACTAAATATTACCCTGCTCACACTCCAACAGATCGTCAGGTATATATATATATATATATATATATATATATATATATATATATATATATATATTATATATATATATATATATATATATATATATATCGTGCCGAATAGGCAGAACTTGCGATCTTGGCTTAAATAGCAACGCTCATCTTGCCATATAGGACAAGTGAAAATTTGTGTGTGCAATAATTTCTCCAAAATCATTCTGAACCTAACACAAAAAATATATTTCACTGTGTTTGTTAAATAAAATTATTGTAAACAAATCTAAAATATACTTAGTTGGGTAAGGCTAAAATAAATTGTTCTTGTTATAATAAGGTTAGGTAAGTTTTCTAAGATTCTTTTGGATCAAAATTAAAAATTTTTACATTAGCATTAATGAAAAAAAATATATCTTTAAACGTATAAGAGAAAATTTTAGAAAGGACTTAATTCTAAATGAGTTCTTGCTAATTGACCAGTTTTACATATTCGGCACGACATATATATATATATATATATATATATATATATATATATATATATATATATATATATATATATATATATATATATATTATATATATATATATATATATAATTATATATATACTATATATATATATATATATATATATATATATATATATATATATATTATATATATATATATATATATATATATATATATATATATATACAACGAACCGACCGTATCCCACCAAGGTAGGTGACTTAAAAAGAAAAACGAAAGTCTCTAAAATTTAGTAATTTATACAGGTGAAGGGTTTACTAGCCCCTTTCTCCCGGCATATTAGTTGCCTCTAACAACACGCATGGTTTACGAAGTAAGAATTCTGTTCCACTTCCCCATGGAGATGAGAGGAAAGAAAGAAGAACAAGAACTCTTAAGAAAATAGAAGAAAACTCAGATGGATGTGTATATATACGTATGTGTGTATATGAATGTATAGTGTGACCTAAGTGTAAGTAGAAGTAGCAAGAGAAACGTAGTATCCCGCGTGTTTATGAGACAAAAAAAAGGACACCAGCAATCCTACCATCATGTAAAACAATTGCAGGTTTCCGTTTGAACTCTCTTGGCAGGACGGTAGTACCTCCCTAAATGGTTGCTGTATATGAACCTACTGCCTAATATATATATATATATATATATATATATATATATATATATATATATATATATATATATATATATTATATATATATATATATATATATATATATATATATACAT